CTTCCTCTCCAAAACAAATGGAACTGGTGATTAAAACCAGTAAAAACACTGAATAAAAGAGTTTCACGTTAAAAATCGATATTTTTCCTATGCTGTTTGGTTGGGCTACTAGCCCCGCACCTGCTAATATGTGCTCACTTGTTTTTCTGATAACTTAAGATCCAAACTTTCAGGTGGTTTTAACCGGAAACTGAATTGTTTGCAGAGGTCTCTTCTTCTCCAAAACAAACAGACTGGTTGTTTAAAACCGCTAAGAAACAGTAAATAAAACAGTTTCATGATTAAAAATCAGTGTTTTTCATACACTGTTTGCCTTGTCGCAGGCATCTGCTAATGTGCAATCACCTTTTTCTCTGCAGACGGAATAGCTAGACATTTAGGAGGTTTTTACTGGGAGCCAAATTATCCACAGCGGTCTCTTCCTCTCCAAATCAAATAGACCCGGTGTTTAAAACCGCTAAAAGCACTGAATAAAACAGTTTGACAATAAGAATCTGTGTTTTTCCTATGCTGTTCGATTGGGCTACGAGCCCAGCACCTGCTAATGTGTGCTTGCTTTTTTTCCCTAAAACTTAAGATCCAAACTTACAGGCAGTTTTAACCGGGAGCCGAATTATCAGCAGAGGTCTCTTTCTCTCCAGAACTACTGAACCAGGTGATTAAAACCACTTAAAACACTGAATAAAACAGTTTCACATTAGAAATCATTGTTTTGCCTATACATTTTGGTTTGTCGCAGACAGACTGCTAGCTTAGCATCTGCTTATCTTTTTCTCTGCATACTGCCAGACATTAAGGAGGTTTCATCTGGGAGCTGAATTATCTGCAGAGGTCTCTTCCTCTCCAAAAAAAAAACATGCCAGATGATAAAAACTGGTAAAACCACTGAATAAAGCAATTTCATGTCAAAAATCAGTGTTTTTCCAATGTTGTTTGGTTGGGCTACTAGCCCCGCACCTGCTAATGTGTGCTCACTTTTTTTTCCTATTAACTTAAGATCCAAACATTGGGGCATTTTTAACCAGGTGCTGAATTATCTGCAGAGTTCTCTTCCTATCCAAAACAAATGTGCCAGGTGATTAAAACCATTAAAAACACTGAATAAAACAGTTTCATGTTAAAAATCTGTGTTTTTCCGTTGCTGTTTGGTTGGGCTTGTAGCCCTGCACCTGCTAATGTGTGCTCACTTTGTTTGTCTGAGAACTGAAGATCCAAACATTCAGGCAGTTTTAATCAGGGACCAAATTATACACAAAGGTCTCTTCCTCGCCAAAACAAATGCTGAATAATGCACTTTCACATTTAAAAAATATGGCGGACTCCATAGATGAGGACCTGCTCCCTATGTAGATTTAAGCAGCTCATTCTAAGTTAACGAAAACACAGCGGTTGTTATTTTCAGGTGATCATACACCAAAGAAATCATTCTTATTATATTATATTCCATGTCTGCCAGTACAGCCCCCTGAATCCCACACACTGAACCTCTAAAGTGGATTTTGCTGTCTGTGCTGTTTTTGTGAATATATGTGACACATTGAATCTTGTCAAAAACACTTGGCTGAGATTGAGTTTTGAAAAATGAGGAGGAGGAGGAGATTTTGATGGGAACGTGGGAGGTGACTGAGTGGAAGATAAATGGCAGGAGTAGGGAGGTGAATGACGAGGCGAGGAGGAAGGAGGGCGAGAAACATCGAGGTAAAGAGGTTCATTTGGAGAGGAAAAGAAGAAGAGGTTAAAAGAAAAGCAATGAGGAGGGGAAGTTATACGGAGAGGAGGAGGAGGAGGGAGATAAGTGGCAAGAGGAGGATGAAGATGTGAGTAGGTGGAAGATGAGAAAGAGAGGAGGCGGGAGGAGAGGAGGAGGAAGACGGGGTAAACACAAAAGAAAGGAAAACAAAGGGAAAATGTTGGCGGTTGAGATCGACGTGTTCTGTCAGCAGCTGTTACCAGGAAAGAAAGTGAGGAAAGTGTGTGTGTGGCAGAGAGAGAGAGTGGGTGAGTGGGTGAGGCCCATGTGGCAGAACACTCTTCATGAGCTGTCAATCAGTGCAGACCGGTGCAGGCGGCGAGCAGTAAGCGCTCAAACAGGCTAATTGAAATCCCTTCTCTTCGTCTTTTCTTCATCTTTCCATCTTCATTTTCTCTCTAATCCGTCCTCACTTTCTTTCCCTCCTTCAGTCCTTCTTTCTTTCTCTCCTATTGTCCTCCTTTCCTCCTCCCTCTGTTTCACACTGTCAGATTAAATAACCCACCGGTATATACCTCACTCTCTAATCCTCTTCCCTTCCTTCCTCACATTCCCTCTCTCCTCTCCTTACCTGCTCGTCTCTGCTCTCCACACACACTCACACATGCTGTCAGCTTGTCACATGTGTTTAAGAAACTGTATCTCCTCCTCACATCACACCTCCTCCCTTTTTTTTTGTCCCAGCAGTGATAAATGAGGTTGAGCGGGTGAGCAGACACATACGAGACCAATCAAGTCAGTCAATTAGACAACCTGCTGTCTCTACAGGGCTGACAGAGCAGCTGAGGACATATTACTGTGTGTGTGTGTGAGAGAGTGAGTGAGTGAGTAAGTGTGGAGGAGGTTGATTAAAGGGGTGGATGTGCATTCTTTTTACTTGCTGTCTATAGAGAGCTGAAGCGATGATGTCATGTTTGGGCTCGCCTCAGTTTCACCTGCTTGTGTATCTCAGTGTAATCCTGGAGTTTCTAGATAAATCTGTATCCACTACAGCAGTTGCAAATGGAAATTGAATCCTTTGGGGTTTTAAATAAAGTTAAACAATTACTGCATGACCAGAGAAAAAAGCTACAGCTCAGATGAAGATTTAAAAGGCAGTAGTGCAGGTACTTCCATCATCATAACTTAGTTTCGCCCGTTAGGTAGAGTTCTCCCACGTCCTTGTCTAGAGTAATGTTTTCAAATGTTTCAGAATCAGAAATATTTTATTGATTCCCAAGGGGAAATTATGATTCGTTACAGTCACTCAGATGTAAAGAATACAGTTATTTATAATTTACAATTATAAGAGTATGAAATAGAAGTATGTAAAAAATAAAGCAATAAAATGAAATAGAAAGGAAAATGTGCATTAAAATAAAAATAAAATGTGCATCATGTTAAAGAATAGTACTTA